CTCCTCCTTCTCCTCCTCGCTCCCTGCTCCCTGCTCCCTGCTCCCTGCTCCCTGCTCCCTGCTCCCTGCTCCCTGCTCCCTGCTCCCTGCTCCCTGCTCCCTGCTCCCTGCTCCCTGCTCCCTGCTCCCTGCTCCTCCCTCCCTTCTGCACCCTCACTCCTTCCTCCTCGTGCTCCCTTCTCCCTCCTCTGCCCCTCATCATGATCCTCATTATGATCTCAAACAACAATATTCCTTTCCATGTTCTCAACTCTCCTGTCTCCCACGTAAACCCTTCCCGTCCTCACCTCATCCTTGCTGCTTCCTCCTCGTGATTGCCACCACCGCCATCCTCCTCCTCCTCCTCCCTCTCTCCCTCGCCCCCGCGCTGACCTCCGCCTGCTCCTCTCGTCAGTTCCTCGCATCGTTCTTCTCCTCTGACCTTCCGAGTCGGTCGTCCTCGTCGCTCCTCCCTCAGCGCTCGCTCCTCCGCGGCATTCAACACCTTTGGATCGCTACCCCTTCCGCTTCTCGCACCGCCTCCTTCTCCTCCTACTCCTCCTACTCCTTCTGCTGCTCCTCCCGCTCCTCCCGCTCCTCCCGCTCCTCCCGCTCCCTCTGGCACGGGTCCAGCCAGTATGGCTCCCACCACTTGCTGAGGATGCTTCTGCTGATAGAGAGCAAGAGCTTCGACCTGCAGCAGGTTGAGAGGCAGACGAGGAGCGGGAAAGGAGTAGAAGCGAAGGACAGAAGAGGAGGAGCAGGTGTTGGTGGTGGTGGAGGAGGAGAAGGAGGGGGAGGAGAAGGAGGGGGGGGAGGAGGAGGAGAAGAGGGAGGGGGAGGAGGAAGGGGAGAAAGAGGAGGAGGTGTGAGACAGGGAAAGAGATGAGGATCAAGGAACAGACCAGGGAGGAATGAAGGTCGAGGAGAGCCTGCAGTCTTGCTTCTTCCTCCGTCCGCTGGATCGACAGCTCGAGCTGCAACCCATCAGCCGCTGTGATAGAGAAATACAAGAGGAGAAAGAGAGAAATGATCATCATAAAGAGTCAGACAGTGAGGAGGTGGGGGGGGCGGGGAGGGGGGGGAAGAGAGTCAGGCGAGAGAGAGAAGAGAGTTTGTCTTCACCTTCTTTCTGTATTCCGTCGCATTCCTGGCAACCTGCAAGCTTGCTCTTCAACATACTTGTCTTCCCTCACCCCCTTCCTCCTCCTCCCTCTCTGCTCTCCCTTCATCTCACTGCCTCACTCCCTTCTGATGCCGCCCCACCGCCACCACCATCCCCTGCTCCCCTCTCCCTCCTTCTCTTCGTTTCTCACTTGCGACAAGATCTCCTCATCCGGGTCGGCGGCTGCGAGGCAGTCGAGGAGCAGCTCAAGGGACCCTCGTGCCATCTTCATCTCCTCCTCATCCGTCTCCCGCGTCCTCTGACCCCCCTGCTGCTCGCCCCCGTCACACCACCAGCCGCTCACTCCTCCTGCTCACCCTCGGTTGGTGCGCCGGGGCAGCAGGAGCAGGACGACGCGACCCGTCGGCACCCTCGTACGGCCAGGAGACGATGGTTCCCTCGCAGAGGAGGCAGAAATGATCGTCCCAGAGCCAGTCGCCTGCGCCGTGGAGGTTACAACAGCCCTCTGCCGCCGCTGCTCCTCCGCTCCCTCCTCCTAACCGCGGGCTGCTGCTCCGCAGTCGTTCACGCATGGCACCGTCCGCTTGCCGCAGCCTGAGCACCTGACAAACTAGAGGATCAGGGAAGGGAGAGAAAGAAGAAAGAAGAGCAGGGAAGGGGGTGGGAGAGGACGAGGACGAGGACGAGGAGCAGAATGAGTTCAACTTGTAGACGGATCGCCACAGCCCAGGAATCCAAGTCTGCTCTTGTCGGAGATGTTCAGTCCTGTTCGATCAGGCTGTTACTGAAAGACAACGAGGCAGACAGGCAGGAGGCGAGGAGATGACGTGAGGGAAGGTGATTGGATGAGGTAAGGGGAAATCCGGGAGAATGTAGTGAGTGAAGATGCACAGGTGAAGGGAGGACGGAGAAGAGGAGAGAGAGCGAGAGGACGCTTCAACACCTCTTGAGGCAGTAGGAGCACCATCCTCGCTCAGTGATCCTGTCATTCCACTTCTGTTGATCATCGTCAGGGACTTCCTCCCAGTCCTCTTCTCCCGAACAACAACTTCATCTTCCCACTTCTTACAATCTCTCAAGCCCTTCATCGCCCACTCATCGTTGTCCATTCTTGAATCCCAATGCCCCTCGCCTCTAGGTTTCGATCTCCGCTCGTCGATCTTTCCCCTCTCGCAGCTCTTCTCCACCGATCTCTCCCTACATGTTCTTTGCACTCTCTCCTTCTGACATCATCTTCATCATCATCATCATCATCATCATCATCATCATCATCATCATCATCATCATCATCATCATCATCATCATCATCATCATCATCATCTCCATCATCATCATCATCATCTCATCGGCATCGGCATCGTCCTCCTCCCGTCTCTGCTTCTCGTCTCTTCGCTTCCTCGTCTTACCACGTCTGCCATGTCTCTCCGACCACCCCCACCCACCTCTGGCCGCATATATTGGACTCTGTTTATAACGGATACAACGGATTCTGTAACTGATTTTACTAAATATCGGGGGGACAACCGGGCCCGGCCCGGTCCGGCGTGGTCCCCGGGGTCATGCTGGCAGTGACGAAAAGACTCCTTTTCAGCATATCCCTGAAGACCTCCTACCCCTGGTTGTAGACCTTCGAGTACCGGCCACATATCGCATAGGGGGTAACGTCCTCCTAAGACCAAAGACCTACAGGGCCCTACATTATTTTGCTAGGTCGTATCACTCTAGGACCTCGCCTAGGCATAGGGACCGCGGCAGGATCCGCGACTGGGGTTGGAACGCTGGTGGTAGGGTGGTGGATGGAGTCAATGAAAAGCGATGGGGGTAGGGTGAGGTCTGAAGAGGGGGTAGTTAACATATAATATATGGGTAGGGGTATAAAATAATCAATCAAGAAAGGGGTGGGTACATACATCACCGAAAAGCCAGAGAAGAGTAAACCGAGGAGAGAGATAATATATCACCCCTGATTATTCCAGTAAAATGAGGGGTAGGGGTGTTATTTTTTATCCACCCCATTTTGCTTTTGGGTCCAGGGGCCGATGACCCCCCTTCTACCTGCCGACCAGAGAATAGGGTCTCCACCCTCCACCCCATCTGTCACTGGAAACTACCCCACCGATTCCCAGCCATGCTCTTTTCGACAAATGGGTACGACTAACCGGTGGTTTTCTATAACATCTTCTAATATCAGGATAGGTAGGGTCAATAACAGAGATCACTGGGTGGTATGTGGCTGAGGGTGGTACGATCGTGGTCTTTTTAGGGGTCAGAATCCGGAATGTAAGGGGTGAGGTGTAGAGAGGACAGTTAAACAGGGGGTAGGGGGTAGTCTGGCGGTTTCATTGAGTGGCCAGACGAGGAGCACCCTCATGTTTACCCCCCTCGGCAGCCCATTAGCCACCACCCCCTACCTACTCAACCCCCCACGATCCCACCACCGTTACGCTTCAGCGTACCCCACCCCCGTAGGCTACCCGAGTTGAAGCGTCTTGAAACACCCGTCCCTGCTACTACCGGTGCACCCTGGACTTGTACTACCCACCCCACCTGTCCTGTGATACGCCTCACCTGGAGTAGATTCCACGCTTCCACACCCCTCTGTACAACTGCCATCAAACCCTACCCCTTACCCAGTACCCTACCCGTGAAATGCAATGTGTCATTCGATGCCCGGGTGATGGGAGGAGCAGAAGAATTCTTCATTGACATTGGTGGGTACTTGAAACAATATCAGTGGGTAGTAGTGCATGATACGGGGTGGGTGTCTGTCAATTCGACTAAGGGTGGGTCAAGGAGCAGGGTGGGTGGGTCAAGATTTTTCGAGGGTAGCTTTCGTAGTCTACTAGGATGGGGGGTAGGGGTATGGAACGGGAGGCGACGCTGAGGATTCGTGGGGTGGTGAGGATATCGTGAATGATGGGGGTGGGGATGGAAGTCAGTGAGTCACTTTCACCAGGGTAGGGTACTGTAATTGTAGGGGTGGTGTCAGGGGGATCCGGGAAATTCGAGAATTGAGCGCCTTCGATGTTGTAGATATGTGGGGTGATTCGGCTCAGATGTAGGGGTGATAAGAAAAATGACAGGGGTGGAGAGGAAGGGGGTGGTAGAATCCGGAATGTGGGGGTGTAGGGAGGCAAAGTAGGGTGGGATGAGGGATGGAGAAACAGGCAGCAGAGCAGCAGTATGGGGTGGGGTGATGTACCCTACCCTGAATCTGGACAAATTCCCACGGATTCACCACCATCGGCAAAGTGATTCCCATATGTACCCCTACCATCGACTGTTAGAGTGAACCACCTACCCCTCGACATCCATGATTGCAGGGACACCCCTTGTCCTCTGTGGCCTCAGCCACCCCACCACCACCCCATCTAAATCCTAGGACCGCATCATCCTTCCATCTGGTAGGTACCCTACCCCCAGATCCCTGACTCTAGTACCCCCACCCCTAGAGCAACCTCAACGAGCTCCTCTCCGCCGCCGCTACCATGCCCGAGGACGATCGCAAGTGAGTACTCCTTCATGCCGCAGATTCATCTCCTCTGCAAGACATTCGCATTCCTTTCTGTTCGCCTCCTTGCTCTCCACATTTTTTACTAGAACACCCAACCTCGAGATCTGTTTCTGGAGGCAGGGCATTGTGGAGAACCCCTCCCCTTCAGCGATTTATGAGATGTTTCGAGGAAAGATTTGGGATTGAACACGGCCCCCTTGTTCTCTATTAGTAATTGCTGGTTCAATGGAAGTCTGTGCTCATTTTCGAATCGTTGCAGTGAAAATTGAGGGGTATTTAGCCTCGGAAACGATCATGTTCTGCTCCACACATCACGATGTCTTAGACTTTCTTGCTTGTATTCTGTGTCTTTTAGTGCACAAAATCCTCTGAATCATATTCCTACGAGGATTTACATGATTTTCACATGATTTTTTATTGATTTTGTCCACGTTGTGCCATCCAAATTACAAGATCCGCTGTAGAGGCCCTTCGTTACTTGAACTTTTTTTGCGACTGCGCACTATGTATATTCATTTTTGAGGTTGTCGAATGCCTGGCTTGATTGTTCCCCGTCTTGATATGATCGGAGAGAGTACTTCTCTTCCAGAACGTGCTTATTTGCTCAACTCTCCTTCATTGCGCATGTCGCTGTGTGCACAGAGGAATATTGACATCTTCTTGACAGGCGCAAGGCTGAAAAGCAGGAAGACGACAGTGAGCATTCTCTAACTCAAGACCGTCGGATTTTCTAATTTGTTTCTTTGTTTGAACAGACAAGAAGAGGAAGAAAGAGGAGGAAGAAGAGGACGAGGGGGAGGGTGAAGAGGAGGAGGAAGAAGAAGGTGAAGAAGAAGGTGGTTTCTTCGTCAATCATACTCATTTCCGCTGATCTTCCTTTGAAATCGCAGAGGAGGGAGAGGAGGAGGAGGAGGAAGGTAAAAGGCCTGTGCTACGATCGTTGCGTCTGCTCATGTTGCTCACAGAGGAGGGAGAGGAGGAGGACGAGGATGACGACGACGACGACGATGGCGACGCTCCTCAGAAGGGAGGAAAGAAGAAGGTGTGCCTCTTCTAGCAATCATCGTGTGATGCTGATGTGCGTGCAGGCAAAGGCCAACGATGATGACGACGAGGACGACGATGATGATGACGATGTGAGGATTGCACGCTCTCGATGATCCGCTCGCTGCTCTTATCCTCGTCCTTGTGTGCTTGCAGGAGATAGATGACGATGAGCTAGCAGGATTAAAGGCTGATGCTGGAGAAATCCTCGAGCCCAAGAAGGGAGCAAGGTAGTCCTTTGACGTGCTTGCTCTTCCTCCCCTGACTTGCCCCAGGTACGCCATGCGAAGCAAGGGAGGCCAGAAGAAGTACGACCTGTCAAGCCTCAAGGATGATAGCGATTAGATGAATCTTGATGCTTTCCTTAGCATGTGCGAACAAATCCATTCTGTAAATTTTGATCGCTACCTCTCATTCAAGTTTATTCGCATTAAAATTTTACATCATTGAGCCAACCTATTGCTGCCGGTGTTGCTGAAAGCTAATGGAATCTTATCCCTTGACTACCCAGTCACTTGTTTGTTGACACATGTTTCTGTACCAAATTTGTAGATATCATGGCTCGGCCTCGTTAGAAGCTTCCTCCAGGTGTGGAAAAAGCAAAGGATGCAGCTCCGCTCAAGTTTACAGCCCAATATCGATAGATCATTGAGTTCCAAGCCGATGCATGTAACAGTTGATCTCTGTCTGCAACATACTCGTGATTGTAAAAACCAAGATTGCCCTTGCTGTGCGGAAAGGTCGAGTTGTCTGAAAGGTCTCTCTGATCTCGCATGCTCACGGTATCATGATGTCGTCCCTTCTGCTCTGCTTCATTTCATCCTCTCCTTTCGCTTCTCCCCGCACACCCTTCTCCTCTCCTCCTCTCCTCCTCTCCTCCTCTCCTTCATTGCCTCCTGGCCTCGATGTTGCTCGTTCACAAACCCCGTAGCGGGGCGGGGGGCAGGGCGGGGGGCAAACAGTGGTGGTGGTGATTCAAAAAGGGGGTGGGGGTATATGAAAGTACCCCTATGTTGTCCATTTAATACTGGGAAAGAAGGGGGTATCTTTTGAAAGGGGAATGGAGAACGGGGGATTTAGATTTATGAGGTGGGGTAGTAGAGGTGTAATAAGGGAATTTCGTTGCCATGATGCTGAAGATGTTGATGCTGATCGCGATGACGATGGCGACATGCGGGGAGATAGGAGGAGGAGGAGGAGGAGGAGGATCAGGGGAAGCAGTGGCAGGAGGAAGGATCCTTGCAAGGAGCTTCTTCAACAGAGAGCCGATCAGATGCTCTCTGTTGTTCCTCGCCCCTCCTTTGCGAGCAGAATTCTCCTCCATCCAGTCGCGGCGTGGCGCATCTAGTAGATGTAGAGCTGCTCCTGTCACCTGCAGGAGCAGCAGGAGGGCACCAGCGCTGATGGCCATGAAGGAGGAGGTGGCAGGAGCCAGCGAGATGGCTTTGAGCAAGGCCATGGTGTCGGAGGAGCAGGACAAGCTGCCGGCGGCTTCGAATGCTCTGTCAGAGCGCGTGGCGATGACGGTGGGGATGCTGGTGCGGAGAAAGGAGCTGTTCCGACAGTACGCGCGAGACATCCGGGGGAGGACGGGGGTGGGAGCGATCGCAGCGCTGGTGTACTGCAGGAGGGTAGTGGAGAAGCGGGAGAGGGTATGGGGTGATCTGTTCATGATAGTGATGGAGAGGAAGCAGAAGGAGGTGGAGGAGACGGTTCTGCGAGCAGTGGACGAGGTGCTCTCGTACCCGATCAAGGAAGAGGAGTGGGTGTGGCTGCGGGAGAATCTTCTGAGCACCTACCTGTGGTTCGCGCGCTCCTCCCGCGGTCGCTACGAGTACCTATGGCAGGAGCTGCTGGAGGTGGCGAGGAGGAAGCTCGCCCTGCTGGCGGAGGAGGCGGACGCCATGCGCTTTCCCGAGCTGGAGGAGGTGGAGTCGAGGGTGCTGCTGTTAGGGGACGAGGACAGCATGCGGCAGGACCACGAGCTGGTGGGCATGCGGGCGGGGCTGGAGGAGGAGACGCTAGGAGGAGGAGACAGCGCTCAGTTCTACGACCTCAATGTGTACCTGAACGAGCTTCTGTGCATCGCCCGCCTCCTGGATCAGCCGTTCCAAGAGCACATGCGACGGCTCTCTTCCTCCCTCTCCTCCCCCGTCCTCTTCCTCCCCGGCCCTCCTAAGTCCCTCGCCAGGTGCCGGGCAAAGGCGCAGGTGGACTACAGGAGCATGCGGTACCCCTCCTCCGCGCACCTTCTGGATGTGATCAGGGCAACGTGGGTGGTGAAGGATGAGAAGAGCCTGCTGGAAGCACTCGACCTGCTGCTCTCCTCCCAGACGCACATCACTGCCCCCACTTCCTCCTCCTCCTCCTCCTCCTCCTCCTCCTCCTCCTCCTCCTCCTCCTCCTCCTCCTCCTCCTCCTCGTCCGCTCTGCCTACTGGGCACACAGTGGTGCGGGTGAAGAACGGGTTCAAGAGGAAGGGAGGGTACCGGGACGTGAAGGTGAACGTGATCTTCACGTGCCCGAGAGGCTTCAGGCTGATCGGGGAGGTGGCGCTGGTTCTGGAGGAACTGAGGGACTACAAGGACAAGACCCACGAGCTGTACGAGATCTTGAGGGAGGAAGACTTCTTCTCGCAAGTCACTCAGTCCCTCCTCCTCCACGGCTAC